CGAGTCTTGGGGTGGGCGACAGCGGACAAACAGACACCAACTATAGCCGCCCCACGCCCTACTCACGGCTGATCTGATTTCACCTGGCCCTCTCATGATTAAAAAACAAAATGTTTGAAGACACTGTCTACAGAATCAACCTTATAAAACCTGCTTGCTGACAGCAATATCCACAAAAAACTTCCTCTCTGAGGTTTCAAGTCTTCATGGTACTTCACACAGATGAAAACAGCATGATCTTACCGGGTGTAAATATGACACAGACGCCAAGTGAAAGACTTACGGGGTGAGAGTCTCCCAAGTCGCGGAAAGTCCCTTTTTTGCCCATGAGCTTCCTGTAGACGACCATGGGAAAATGCACGTCCAGTATACAGTTGTTGTAAATCGCCAGACCCAGCACAATGCCAATCAGAGTGAACTGACCCTCAGTTTCAAAAGACGATGGATTAAACCAAAACAATTTTGTAGATTCATCATAGGTGAACATACCTGTAAGAAATGATTGTTAAAAATATATTATTCATATTTTATTACACTGATGAATACAAATACAAAGTAATTACACATGTAGACTTGTAATAGGTATACAGAAACTTTCCTCTATTACAGTAGTGTTTGAGAAACCAAAGTTCAAATATATGATTATTTTAAATTGTGGCAAAGGTAGTACTTATATATATTTTAAAGAAACCAAGGAAACAATGTAATGAAAGAATTTGTGGCCCGGCCGTGCCTCAGCGGTTGAGCAACCCTAGGATCCAGGAGATGGCAGTTCAATTCCTGGTCAGGGCACATGACCCCCAGCAGGGGGCGTGCAGCAGGCAGCCAGTCGGTGACTCTCATCATTGATGTTTCTCTCTCTCCCTCTCCTTTCCTCTCTCTGAAATTACAATAAAGACATTAAAAAAAAAAGGCATTTTCATTAAATTCAAGTTGTCTAATCTAACATATATTAAGTTAATTTAAACTCGTACTTTACCCACCAAAGGGTTGAAAGAAATGCAAAAAAAAAAAAAAAAAAGGGCTTTCATATGTTTCATTTATAAAAAAGTATTTAACCCACATGTACTGTTTTAAGAAACAACTTTGGATTTCATCATGGAAAGGTTTGTTTTTTTCAAAATTACACAGTGGTCCCATGCAGTGTGTCTAGCATCTTTCTAACAAAGCCAGATGGTGCCAAGTATACACTTAGAAAACTCAATATATTAACTCAGGTTCTGTCCAAAACCAAAAGGTGTTTACTGCACACACTAATTGTGCGCCGGTAAGTAAGACAAAGGTAGTTGGCATCTGCGGACCTCTTTCAGCGTCCTGTGATCTAAATCCAAACCTGGAGACCTGTCTGAGTACCACTCATTTGAAAACAGAAATCTCTGGCTCTGCCTCGCTAAATGACCTTTACTAAGGCAGAATGAGCTTCTTCCCTGTAGATGAACATCCAAATCTCATAACTGACTTTACAACTTTTTTTTTACTAAGATGTTTCAGTTGCTACCTGAAAACTAAAGTTTTAAGAATTAGATCTGAAAAAAGGAATTTCAGAAATCAATACAGCACATAAAGCAATTATAAGATTTTTTTAAAGCTTAAAAATACTTTTCATTTAGAGTTAAACATGAAAGGAACTTTAAAATGGCCCCCTTGATCATAAGAGCAAAAATTAAGCTAAGACATTTTCCTGATAGGATGTAATGCTCATGAAGTAACAGTCTGAAGATTATCCCATTTGTGCTTGAATTTCACTTTTTTTTTTTTTTTACGGGACTAAATTACGACATACAGCGGAGTGCTAAAAGCTTCATTTAGTTGTAAATACAGGATTAACGGGGTCAAAACAGTCCAAAGTAATTACAATTAATAAATCTGATGACATCTCACACATGCATGCCCTTGGTCTCAGAAACAGCAAACTACAAGTTCCTCATAATATTTATCGCACAGGTCACTTCGCTGCCCTCTGTGAGCGGGAACTGAAGAGCAAGGAGCTTCCACTTTGGACACGTTTGTTCCGGGAGCCTGGAAAAACCCGCTATAAAACAGGGTGTGGCTTGTCTAAGATTTCCTTTCTTGCTATTTCTGTGCAATCATTTCAGTTACCTTACATCAAGTAGAAATGTGTAATGTACGCTTTTTCTTAGTTCTGTATATAACGTGAACATACTTTATAGCTAATGTTTAATACTTCTAGATACATCAGAACCTACTGCAAAGGTCTGCCAAACTTAGGACGCTTAGTAATTTTCTATCTCAAAAAGGGCATGGGGTTGTGTGTGCCTTGGTTTACTTTGAGCAAACTACATACAAACAACATGGTCTTCCGATTATTATTTGCTAGAACATACTCTTACCATAACTACTTGTCATGAACTCGAAATGTCTCATTCCATTTACACGCATGTATACAGATGACCGACTAAGAACAGAAGTCAACTCAGCGTACACACTGGGAATCCACAGGCAGCAGGTACGGGGCTGCCTGCGTGAGGCGGCCCCACTCCTAGATATTCTGGGGGCGCCTTCAGTCATTCGTCTGCAGCAGTGGAACCAGTTCAGAACTGTTCAGTCCCCTGTCCGAGCTTTCTTCCCCCCTTCCACTCTGCCTACCTTGCCTATCAGAGAAATTCAAATTCTTCAATATGGAGACCAGGTTTCCGCAAAATGTGTTCAGTGAAAGCTCTGCCAGGAGGCAGTCACCATCAGGCGGGGAAGCGCTTCCCCGCACTGTGACCTCCGGAAGCCTTAGTCACAGACCTAACTAATGGGCCACCAGCCAGCGCGCCAAACTCCGGGCACGATGTTCTATGAGACTCTTGTCTCAGAAATGCTGTGAATCTGATGACTAAGACTAAGAGCAAAGAAGTCCTCCAAATGTACCACTCTCAAGAGATAATCCCCGGTATTTAAAATACTTGGCTAAGTAATCTAAGAAAGAACCTGAGTAAATGAGTGATGGAATTCGGCCCCAAAGCCCACAGATTCCGTCAGGATTTGTAATTGTGGGTAATGCACCCCAAAACCACCTTTTCTGCTCCACTCCATAACTGAGAACATTTATAAACCTGGGTAAACAAATTCTTAGCTCAGAAAGACAGGACACGGCGACCTATTCCTGGACACTTACCGATGTCGGGATTGAAGATTTCCTCCACAACCAGCTGGAAGAATTCTTTGGAAACGCCTCCCTCGTCAACTCCCTGCTCGCCTTCGAACTCCACGTACAGCTGCTTCTTCAGGTCCGCCGGGTTCTCCATGGCGATCATCTCTAGCTGGCGAGCGAAGAGACACGGCAAGAAGGTGACTGCCAGGGTTAGGGCAACAGCAAAGCAACCGCACGCAGGGCCAGGGAGCAAATACAGTTCCTGACTTCTGGGTGGTTTCAAATGGAAAAAAGCAGCAAACTGATAAAAAGCCAGTGAAGACAGACTTAGTCTCATGGAAAAAAGGACAGGAAAGAAACCTGCGGAGAATTACAAACGTTACTTTCTGCGGACTATTTCTTACGAAACTGGCACACAGTAGGAAAAGTCGAATTCAATTTTCTGTTACTTATGTGTGAGAAACCTGGGCTATGGCGTTAGGACATAAAAAGATGTCAGCACAGCTCCTAAGCGACCGCCCCAACTCAGTCACTTTAGCAAGAACAATGGGAAATAGGAGTTTGACTCAAAACTGGTAGCTACATAGTTTTTACATTAGACTAGAAAATGAAGAATTAAGTCTTAATATCTAAAATAACTTCAATTAAAAAATACACTAGATGAACAGGGAAGCCACTGATGATCTCTTAGAATAGCACTTAGTATAAATTGCTTTTTAATGGATTCAAACACATTTCACATCTACTTACTTTTAAAAGCAGACGAGACATGTGCTTGTTCATATCCTTCCTAACTTCTTATAAATTACCAAACTCTAGTATCTACCATCTTGATTATAAATCTTTATTTCTTTGTATCTATAAATATAGCGATTAATTTCAGTCATTATGAGACGAATCAAAGCCTCTTTAAAAAAATAAATCACACTATTTTCTAATGTGAAATATTTACACCGCAATTTGTTGTTTTACGTACCTGAAATTTACTAACAGCACGCCTGACTGATCAGCCACCTTATCTACTAAATTAACTTTAAATGCCTTCTGGTTGTTAAAAAAAAAAAAAAAATATTCCCAAAACAGAATATTTAAGGGTGATCAGGTTATTGGCAACTATTCAACTAGAATTTTAGGAATATTTTTGAGCAAGGCACAAACATCATTGGAATTTATTATAGTCCTAAAATAACTACTTTAGGTTAACAGCCTTAGTTTGGATATTCTTGTGTGTCTATATATAAATAATTTAATTCAAAAAAAAATACACATACACACACACTCATGAATCAGGTCGGTTGCCCTAGATGGATGTTTTTCAAACTTCCAAGGCCATTTGATAGTGGGGAGTCCAATCCACTCAGTGGTTTCCCACCAACGGGGGGGAATCAGAATGCACTCCACAGAGTAATGGCATCTACTGTTTTGTGAAAACCTTCGCTTTAATTATATGCACAGACAGACATGCGTGTGTGTCCTGGGATGCTGTGTAAAATCTCTCTTACTAGGGCTTGCAGTCAAAAACATTTTAGGAACAAAGACCAACATGGTCTGGAAACCTTCAACTTTTGGGTCCTGTACAGCGGCGGTCTCTAACCTGATAGAAACACGATGCCAATCTGTGTCAGCGTCATTTATTTTGAGACAGTGCTGCAGAAAGACTGAGTCAGAACGCCGTATGCCAGTCCCAACTAACCTATCTTTTAACCTTTAAACCTTATCAAGCAACTCAGTTAAGCCTCAGTTTCCTCATCTGCAAAGGAAAGGGGAACAGTACTGTTCATATGGCAAAGGAGCAAAGACTTAATAAAAACAGGAGAGTTCTAGAGCGCGCAGCACTATGAAGGTAACGCGCCGCGTCGTTACCTTTCAAAACAACACTGCTCTTTGAATAAGAGTCAACTCTGATGTTAACGCCTAGTCCCAAGTTTTGCAAATAACCTTGGGGGGAAAAATCATCCCAGTTGGAAACCTGTTCCAAGCCTCAAGAATTCTGAGCACTAAATCAGAATTACCATCTTGGCGCGAGTGTGGTTTACCCAGCAGGCCACCCCCCTTATGGCCGGGGAACCATTCCCAGCTCCCTCCTCCCCGCCGCCACCTGCCTAGGTGCGACGGGGTGCAAGTCCATGTTTGTACACACCCGACCGCACGGAGACCAGCCTGCTTTTATCAGGTACGATGCATTCAAAGGGGAAAAACAGAACTACCTGAGAACTGCCTTCACAGCAATGTGACCGATAAGCTTTTAAAGGATTTGGGGTCGTTTCTACAGGATCCAGAGGCCCTGTGTTCTAGTCTTCCTTCTGCCCGAGATACTTCATATGACAATTAAAGCACATTTACCTTCATTCTTAATAAAAACAGTCCATGTCTGTGCATTCCCACCAATCCCCACCTTCTGCTCTCCACCTTAATGCCTTAAATTCTTTCGGCATTATGTTCTATTATAATTACAAACATAATTTTCTCGGCTGCAGCGTTAACTGTAAAATGAGCACCGTACTATGTTAATAAGCTGATACAGGAAGCGCTCAGGCGAGCCCCCTGCACAAGGCCTCATCCAGGTGGAAGCTCAAGAACTCGCTGGCGTCCGAGCTGGGAAACAGGAGACCCGGTAAGCCCACAGCGGGCGCCCAGCCACTGCGCCTCTCAGCGAGGACTAGCAGTCTTCTTAAAAAGTTATGAGGGGTCTTTATTTTCTTTACGTTTCCCTGCATTTTAATTTTCTACAATAAATACATATTACCTTTAGAATCGGGATGCATTCAAATGGAAATATGTAAAAAGAGAAGCTTGAAAAACAGACAGCTGCATTCTGCTGGTGAAAACTTCCCGTTATCAGCTGTTCTAGATTATCAGTCTCAGACACAAATAAGCGGGTCTATAAAATACTGTATTGTTTACGTTCCCATGGGCAGCCTACCTTTAAAAAAATTACTTTTAATTGTAAGAAATATGGCCCGGCCGGGCGTGGCTCAGCGGTTGAGCGTCGACCTAGGATCCAGGCGATCGGGGTTCGATTCCCGGTCAGGGCACATGCCCGGTTGTGGGCTTGATCAATGACTCTCTCATCATTGATATTTCTGTCTCTCTCTCTCCCTCTCCTTTCCTCTCTCTGAAGTCAATAAAGATATACTTAAAAAAAAATAAATAAATAAATAAATAAATAAATATATATATATATATAGACCATAAAATTTAGCAACTAGTATTTTGACAAAGGCCATTATTACATAAGACTAATTTTTATTTTTCTTAAAAATAACCATTCAACCCATTGTTCAATTACAGAATTAAAGAATTAAATTGTAAAGGTCTATCGCTTTATGTAATAGATACATACCATTTAAAAGTGTCTTTTAAAATCAAAAGCTGTCTTGAATGCAGGAGGATATTCAGAAATTGGGAAAATGTGTCAATGAACGTTCTGAAAAGGACCATCTGTCTGCATCCTTGAACTGAGGTCATTCCGTTCATATAGACCTGGATTTTCATATATAGGTTTTCTTAAAGTTGGGCATATTTCATATTGACTTAATATGGAGACTGGCAACAGACAGATTGCTGGGGAAATAAAAAGTAGGCCGGATGTAAGGGCGTCTACCTCTCTTCATTAGATGACTCAAGACTTGATTTCATCACTTGTCCGATAAAACGATTTTCCATCTCTGAACACTTAATTGGTCATGATGATGAAATCCTAGAGAGATCGTTTTTTTGAAAAAGCAATCTGACATCAAAGCTTCCGCAGAATCAGGTAGAGAGGGGACGAAGGCTCAGTACGAAAGTGTCACTTTTGCCACATTTACAGGCGTCAAAATGAAACCCCCACTCTTTAAAACCTTACAGTAGTCTGGGCCCTTCCTCATGTCCAATCCATCCTTACCCCTAGTT